TAACTAGAATCCGAAAATCAATTAATATATAGGGTGTTCCATTAGAGAAAACATAACTTTAATGTGTAACTTGTTTTGGGGACACCCTATATAATTCTATATATTTTTATAAAATGTTTTCAGTTAACCTACGTATCATCTTACTACTTTAATTAACGAGTCATTCCAAAAAGGAGTTTTTCCAAACTGCCTTAAGACAGCAATAATTATTCCTCTGTATAAAGGAGGTGATAAAGATGAAGCTTCGAACTATCGCCCAATTGCACTCCTGCCCACATTATCTAAGATCATTGAAAGATTGGTTAAAAAAGGTTTCTATCTTTTTCTCCTTAAATATAAAATACTTACTACCCATCAATTTGGATTTCTAAGTAACAGTTGCACAAATGATGCTATGTTCGACCTTTTTAATAATGTATACTCTAGCCTGAATAACCATCAGTCTACAGCTACAATTTTCTGTGATTTCTCTAAGGCTTTCGATTGTGTAAATCATAATATCTTAATTAACAAATTGCAATACTATGGTTTCAGGGGAGTGCCGCTCGAATGGCTTAAGTCATATCTTGGCAACAGAAGGCAGCTTGTGAGGATTGATACGTCTATGTCTTCTTGTAAGCCTATAGAATGTGGTGTCCCTCAGGGTTCAGTACTTCGCCCTATTTTGTTTCTGGTGTTTATCAACGACATTGCAAATCTAGACATTAGCGGTAAAATCTGCCTCTTTGCGGGCGATACTAGTTTCACTTGGAGCGGCCCAGATGTTGCGGCGCTATATGATACTATATCCAGTGGACTTACGCACAATTAAGTCTTGGTGCGATTCTAATCTCCTATGCCTCAACCTATCAAAAACTAAAGTTTTGTCATATAAAAGTACTATACAACCTTTTGTACTTAATAACACTACTATTGACGTCGTGGACTCTGTGAAGTTCTTAGGACTTCTTGTAGACAACTCGTTAAAATGGGACTTTCACATTGAAGCTCTATCAAAGAAACTAAGCGCTGCCTGTTTTGCGCTAAGATCAGTTTCTAAGGAACTTAACTTCTCAACCTCTAGAATAGCCTATTATGCCCTTTTGAGTCACATCTTCGTTCTGCTCTTCCATTCTGGGGGTACTTGCTGCGCAACAAAATTTGATCGTGTTTTCATACTTCAGAAGAGAGCAGTTCGATATTTATTAGGACTAAACAGTAGAACTCACTGCCAGAATTTCTTTAAAAATTTGAAAATACTGACTCTTCCTTCTTTATTCATTTTGAATCCGTTTGCTTAATCCGCAAGCACATATCTGCTATTCCCGAAAGGCCATCTCATAACTATCCACTTAGGAATGCAGAGCACGATTTTTATCTGCCAACCCCGAGCTCAGAACTAGTTAAAGCGTTCAATACTGTACAATGCCAAAAAAAATGTACAATCATCTGCCTTTGAATATCAAATCGCTTTCATTCTTTCCGCATTTCGCAAAGCTTTAAAATCATACCTACTGGAGAGCCCTATATGCGGTAAACGACTTTTGTTGATGTTTAATTATGAACAATTTTGTATTTTAAAATTTTGATCATCTCACACACTGGTCAAAGGTCAAGTATTTAATATTCTATAACTTTAAAATTATATCTATTTACTGCGTACTGTTCTAAAATTGTCCATGTATATTCTTTTTGTAATTTTAAAGACTTAAATTTTTTTGAATTGTATTATTTGTATTGTGTATTTTTTGTTGTTTGTATTTTTTTGTGATTTTGTTGTTTGTGAGTGCTTTGTCCATGAAGCTGTTTTGGCTTTTTGCACAATAAAGCGTTGTTTTTTTTGTTTTGTTTTGTTTTATGCTGCCAAACTTTCATTTTGCTATAAACTACCGTTCTCCTTGGAGCTTCTGCGGCGTATGAGAGGCGCCACCCTGTACATTACTTTTTAGAATTAATTCTTGTGCTGACTCTTGCCAGAGAAATAAAATAATGTCTTTACTAAACATTTTGATTGCTTCCTTAAATGTATACAGGGGTATCAAAAATTGCTGGTCTATTTTAAATATTTATATTACATAAAAACTTCGTTATTTCAAATGCAACACTATCTAGTTTTTAAAATAAGTCGAAGCAAATTTAAATGCTCTTTCAAACTATATTAGGGTTTCTTATTTTGAATAAAATTCATATTTTAAATAAAAAGCGATTTTCTAGTGACACTTATAGTAGCTATTTTCAATATCGACATTAGTTTATGGACTTTATTTAAATTTATAACAAGTTATTTTCATTTAATTTACCTACAATAAGGTTAATAAGTAAGTATTTATTATTTTACCCAGAAAAATGAAGCAGTATCTGCTGGTGGAAAGAATCGATATGTTACTATAGTGGTTTTATTTAGAAAGTAAACTGTTTTAAATTTAAATAAAGTCCATAAACTAATGTCGATTTAGAAAATAGCTACTAATTGTCATTAGCAAATTGCCAGGGCGACACCAGCCATCTTGATTGCCATTTTATTGAAAAATCGCTTTTTGTTCAAAATCTGAACCAGATAGGTATAGGAAACCCTAATATAGTTTGAAAGAGCATTTAAATATGCTTCGATAAATTATAAGAAATACAGGGTGTTGTATTTGAAATAACAAAGTTTTCATGTAAAATTTTGATACCCCTATATATTCATTTAAGGAAGAAATAATTTTTTTTAGTAAAGTGTATTTCTCTGACTTTTATTACAGCATGCATATTTAAATATCTCAAAAACTAAAGCTTCTAATCATATTAAATGCTTATAATAAATGCCTTATTTTATGCCCAAAAATCCAAAAATAAAATATATTTTCTTATTCCATAAGAAAAAATGTAACTTTGGTATGGATTTTAGTTCCGACACACTCTGTACATTTCAAAATAATTTTAAATTATGCACATTTAAATTATGCACCTTTCTACATATACCCATAAAACATTTTGTTTCTACATATTTCCGTTTGCGTATAATCCACCGAGGCGAGTGAGGTGCGCCACCCTGTATTTTGTTTGTGAAAATTGAACTATTATTATTATTTATGATTCTAATAATTTAAGTTATATTAATGTGCATGTTTTCAAGAACATTTATTTAAAATAAATGGATAAACAGGAAAATTGAATTATATACCAATATTATATTATTTGCATTAGAAGCAATCGAGATAAAATAAATTAAAATAGAAAAGGATCTGTTTCATATCTTCATAATTTTTTTAGATATTTGGTTTGAAGTGTGTAATTTCTTTATAAACGTTATCAAAATAATAAATATTATTTTGAGATTTTCTAAATTTGTATTGCAATTTAGACATAATGCAAGTGTCTAAACTGAAGCAGAGATATGAGTATTATCCTTGTATTATCAAATGTTTAATGTAATCTATTAATTTATATTAAGTGATAAAATAAAAAAAAAACTACTCACTTGGTCCAGAGGCGTAGTGAGGACACTTTGTATTGGGGGATAATCTTGTAACTGAGTGAAATATTATAGCACGATTTAGTAGTAAAAGAATAAAAGGATCAAGACTTCTCCTTATCACGCCCTCTCCTGCCGAAGGTCGGCAATCGAAATGGCAATTGTGGCTCTCGAAGCTGCAGCCCGGAAGATTTCCGCAGACAAGCGTTCAAACCATCTCCTTAAATCTTTTAGCCATGAGTTCTGGCGTCTTCCTACTGATCTTTTCCTTTGCACTTTGCCCTCTATTATGAGGCGCAGTATTTCGTATCTACCACCTCTCATCACATGACTCAGGTATTGCATTTTTCTTTCCTTGATGGTGTTCAGTATCTCTTTTTGTTTCTGCATGCGCTGAAGTACTTCATCGTTGGTGATCCTTTGTACCCATGAGATTCGCAGCATCCGTCTGTACACATACATTTCGAAGGCTTCTATTCTCTTTTCGGTCTGTGTTTGAGTTTTCAGTCCAGTGTCTAGCTCTCACATCCATGGAGTAACACAGAGAAGACGTAGCATCTGGCCATTCGAGTTCTGAGTTCCGCACTGAGGTCTCGTCTTGTAAAAAATGATTTCATTCTTACGAAGATTTTTCTCGCTTGCTCAATTCTTGAAAATATTTCTCTTTTTGGGTCGCACTGGCTATTGATATGTTAGCTCCTAAATACTTTATTGAGGTCACTTGTTCGATTGTTTGTCCCTTGACACGCAGGTGTGCATTTATTGGAGTCTTAGAACAGACCAATAGTTTGGTCTTGGAGACATTGAGATGCAGTCCAAACATCTCGCTATAGTGGACTACGGAGTCTATAATGATTTGCAGTTCTTCTATATTGTTGGCTATTATAACCGTATCATCGGCATATCTGACATTGTTTATTGGGATCCCATTGAACTTGATTCCACCCTGGATTCGATCCAGTGCTTCTCTAAATATGGTCTCCGAGTACAGGTTAAACAGAAGCAGAGACAAGACGCAACCCTGCCGATTAAGACTATATTTTGATAAAAAAAAATAATCAAAATGTCCTCAAAACAAGACAAAACCGATTACCTCCAGTTTATAGGAAGTGAAAAATAAAAAATATAAATATTTGAACAAGGGCCCGCGACTTGCTCGCTACGTCACTGATATGTACGATCTTGTATACAGTACATAAATATAGTTCTTTGGTAGTACCCTTTATACAAGGGAAGTACCTACTAAAGAACTGGAGCGTGGAGATATATTAGGTTCAATTATTTATTATATATAGGGAATTATAATATATATTATATTAGAGGGGGGGGGGATTATAAAATTATGGCATTTCCAATGCGTTTATGCATATGAATTAGGATACAAAAAGTAAAGTACATACACGAATTGTAATATCAGTTATTTGGAACTTGTACCATACTGTTGTTTATTTTGTTGACCAGACAAAACTGACTACCAGACTGTTGTGTATTTGTTGTAATGAGATAATATTTATTTATATCGCTAATATCGATAAAAGATTTTTGATAAATAAAAATAACTAGCTTTAGTTAAAAATTTATTGTTTACATAATTTCGTAACAAACATACATCACAAACCACATTTTATAACAATATACAACTACTATTTGAGCTCGAGTACACTTAAAAATAAGATTGTCATTTTTAAAATGATCTTAATTACTAGAGAGAGTTTATATAACTTTCCATATTATTGCACCAATGGAAAATACAGAAAATTGGTACTGTTATAGAGAATACATAGAAAGAAACAAGAAGAAATATATTTGTTTTAGTCTTTGTCCCTCTCATTCTCTTTCAATCTGGCTCTCTCTATTTGTCTATTTGAAATTGTATAAAAAATTAACAAATAAATTCTAACCTACGACGACTAAAGTTACTATACATTAAGTACCTAACAAGAGAAAAAAGGCAAGGTGTATTATAAATTAAAACAAAATGACTATGTAAACCGAAACAAACACTATTATAGTGTAAAATTTGGGAATTTTTGAATTCGAGTAAATGTACATTGATTTGGTAAACCTGTGCTTTAAGCAGTTCAGAATGGTTCTTATGAACATTTTTTTGTGTTCCATTAATTCATTAATTTGGGTGTATTATACTTTTTGCAATTAATTTTACGTAATTAATTAACTTTTAATATTAAATAATATAAGTGACTATATTTTATATAGTCTATTAAAATTATATTTCGATACTTATGAACTGCAGAATCAATATCTGATATATTTGATTTTGAAATTGCCGTTTTTATCTTCTACTTCTATTACATTTACTTCATTATCAATTAATAGATAAACTATATATTATAGACAAAGAAAAAATATCTGTAGATGATTGACGATTAGGTGTAGCCTAGCTATTTCTTATTTCAGAGAAAGCCGCTAAAAGATTTAAGTAAGTTTTAAGAATGTCCACTCATGTGTGTCTTCAGTCACAGAAAACACAGGTTTACCATAGATTGATCTACTATTATTAAGTTATCTATTTCTATTGCATTATTTCGTTGTTCGTTCAGCCTCTTTTTATTCGTAGCACTATCAAGCTGATAGTCAAGAATAGCACTATCCAGACGATCGTAGAAAGGAATCCGTAGTAAACATCCGGTTCCAAAAACGACCAACCTCTCGTCATCATTGCCCTGAGCGATGTCGTGGCTAACGTCAGAGGTAAGAACGTGGAGATGTAACGCAACACTGTGGGCATGCCCTCTATGGGCCAGATGACGCCGCTAAGTAACAGCGTGGGGTAGAAACTGCCCAGTGCCAGCTGGATGGCGTTCCTTTCCAGTTCGCAAACGGCGGAAATGACGAAACCGAAGCACATGCCGCACAGGCCTTGGAGGATGGTGAGGATGACGACGACGACGATGTCGCCTTGACACTCGACCTTGAAGACGAGGATCATGAATATGAGGACCAAGGTGGTTTGGCCGCACATCACGACGAACTGGGTGACCACGTGGGAGAAGAGGATTTCTCCTGGAGTTACACCTAGAAGAAAATGAACTTGTTAAGATTTTAAAACAATGAACATTTCTGACGATTAGGTCAGATATTTAAGGTGTTCAAATCGATGTCCGAATATTCCATCGACATAGTACTACTTTAAATTTAACAATTGCTAATTGATAACAATTACTTAATAAGGTAAAACCAAAACGCTTCAAACTTTCTGTATGATTATTTTTTAATTGGTTTTTAATTTTTACGTATGTTATGTTCTTTAAAATCAAAGAAGCGATAGCCATACATTACTAACATCAAAGAATATTATAGTTAACACGAATTATCTTTGCTAACATCTACAGATGCATAAGCAATACATACATACATACTCTTCTTTCATTATAATTTTTATGAAGTGATAGTGTTTTGTGAAGCTTCTTATCAAAAATCGCATTTATGATACTGACATACCGACTTAAAGATTTAGACGTATTCCTACTAGATTTTAACGCTTGATGCTACAAGAAATATTTTTGTAGGTTATTTTCGAAAAGGCACTTTTTCTCAAAAACTATGCAAAGGTGATTTTTTCAAGAGACAAAAATGTAGTAAGTATTAGGAGAACCCTTTTAAAAACATATCTGTGTTGTGAACCCTGCGTACTATATCTGACGATGATATGAGATACCCTCCGAAAGGATAATATGCTTTTTGATGGTTAGTTAAATTTTATTACAAGAGCTAATGAGATTGGAGTTTGGATTCCAACCCAGAGAAATTTTTCAATGACTTATAGAACATATATGACAACATATAGAGCTTGTTCAATGGAACAAAGAGAACAAGAAAATTGTAAAATATTGCAATTTTTTACAGGGGCGAAATACTCGAAGGTTTACAAGGTTTCCATTATTTATTATATAAATAGAAAATTTGACGTACGCTTAAGACAGCTAATATTTGTTTTGACATAATATGTTTATACATTATTTCTTATGATTCATAAAGTTAGATGATTAATAGTTATGGATAAAAGAATGTGATGACAATATGAATTCAATAGTCAATTTTTGTTCAGTTCAATTCAATAGAATTCTTTGGATTTTTGAGGATATATTCTGTTTAAATTAAAAACATATTATTTTTCTGTTTATAATAAAACAACTGCCTTGAATAAGTTCTACATATTTTCGTGAATTAGGGACTCTAGTAGAAAATTTTAAAAAAAATTATATAATTCAGCTGACTAAAGCTATGCATTATGCATAAAATCATTAGTTAGTTAAATAATATATGTATAATAAGCAAATATTAATAATTACAGGCGGATTACGGCTTGAGAAAGATATAAATATATTTAAATTTGAAATCGGCAGGTTTAGGACTAGGAATTAAACAACTTTTTTTTTAATTTCCCGCGTTTCGACGTGTATTTTCACCTTTATCAAGGCTATTTTCAGCTAAAAGATCCTTATGTAAAAATTAATTAAGCAACTTCTCCTGATAGCATGGTCCTAAATCTGCTAAAGCCATTCCATCTGTAACATAATGACGCAAATCTACCACATTATATGTAAATTCTTTATATGAAATGTACGTGTAGTACTTAAGACAGGAGGACGCGTCGCACAGTGCTTCGAACATATGGCTCTAGAGGACAAAAATGCAAAACTTCTCTTTTATTGGGGCAATTTATTCAAACTAGGTTTATTTGACACAAATGATGAGTACTCTCATTGTACTAAATGATGATGTTCTTAGTCCCACGTTTATGAAAAAAAATCTTATAAATAATAAAAATGTTGGAGCTCTGTTCCATCTAAGGAAATAATAATTTATAGTATGAAAACGGTGTAAGTATTGAATAAATTCCTGTGATAAAAAAGAATTGGAATAACATTAGAACATGATTCCTACAATATAAACCTAATATAAGATAAAAATATTTTTCTTTAATGAAAAAGAAACATTAATGTTATATTTAATTTAAAAAAAAACTTAAGATACTATAAATTTACTTTAGGACAACAAAATGCATAGATCGTAACTACTCTGATTCAGAAGAATCATTGCTGACAGAATCTTCCAAATTTATACTATCCAAATCACAGGTAGATGAAATATCCTCACATATAAGATATTACTATACATCATTTTCTAATATGTTACTTTTTCGCGTTGTTACTGTTCTTTTTGTTGGTATGAGGGGTTTGGATGTTAATAGTTACCTCTTTAATAGACCATATCCATATATTATTTTTTCGTTTTCTTGGGTATGAGGTTTTATAATAAATTGAAAGATGGGAACATTTTTTATGCCACGTTTCGCTCCAACATAGTGGGCTCAGACACAAGTGGTTATCTCATTGGACTGGAAGGTTCATCAATATCTAATAAAGAACACATTTTTTGAAATATAAATAATTTTGAGTTCTTGTCCTTATGATCAAGCCAAGTATTAACCAGATCGGCATTGCTTATCAATTTTACTCCATCTGAAAAGTATTATAAAATAAAGTTCGTCGCAAGCAGACGCAGGTGAACTATGCAAAAATTAAAAGTGTATGAATATGGCAACAAAAATATTCAATAAATACGATATATTTTGATATGTTTTTTTTTAATGCCTTTTTGAAGTTTGAAAACGTAAAATTTTTATACCCATTTAAGAATCATCTTGAAAAATAAATAAAAACTAAACAATAACGAACTTGTTTAGAAATAAATTTAAAGTACATACCTTTTTACGTTTAACAATATCCATAGTGACTTTCAATTAAGTACGTAACGTTTAACTCCATATACAGAACTACTATGAATGTTATTCTTTTCACTGATATAAGATAATGATCGCAAAATTTATTTTTAGTGAAAATATTTGCTAACAAAAAAACGCTGTTTATGAAAAATAATATACAGGATGGTTGAACATTGCTATAAGTATTAAATTACATATTCAGATATTAGTAAATTTTAACTTTTTTTTCGATTTTTGGTCCATGGAACGAAGCACTGTGCGTCGGTGTCCCTACTTATTCAGAACATCGAAATAAATATGGCAAAATAGATCTTTGCCCGGACACCCTATAACTAGTTGAAATTTGAACCGCTGAAACTTAAGAAATGTCGAGAGGATAAATATTTCTTTAAAAAAGATTTTCTATACATTATATTATATATTTTTATACTTTAAATTTTTCCACTGAATTATTTTTTGTTCTAATAATAAAATCACTTTATAGCTTTAAAATTAGTTTTAAGCTACTCATACTGTAATTCATTAGTAGTGGAGTGCCCATAGACTTTTACCTCGGAATTCAATTACTGTGAATGTATTAATGTAAAACCTTCTGTATTGTGTTTTATAGATAAAATACTAAAAAATGTTTACCCATTTTTTTTTGTTCCTTTTAATTTTTTATTTTAGTAATTTTAGTAAATTCTTATTTATTTCCTTCTTAATATTTTGATTTTTTTAATTCTTTTTCTAAGTAAATTTATTGAAATAAATAAATCTAATACATAAGGTATACCTATTCTGCTTATATTCTAATCATTGAAATTTTGATTGAAATCGAATTATACAGGGTGGCGCGTCATATACGACGCGGTTTTTGCAAGGAGAACAAAAGTTCGTATTGAAGTGAAATTTTCTGAGCTTATGTAAGTCAATTTAAAGTATTTTCTAAAATTATGTACAGTTCTACAGGGTGTCCCCAAAAAAAGTTACACATCAAAGTTATGTTTTTTGTAATGGTTAATAATAACACCCTATATATTAATAGATTTTTGGATTCTAGTGAAAAAATAAAGGTTTGTTTCATTAGAAAGGTATATGACTAAAATGTATAGTTTTTGAAATGGGCACCTTAAAACTTTGATGTATTTTAAAGATTAATATATTTTATTTTAATGGACCGATTTTGATGATTTTTTAAGCAGTGTGTTGCCAAATTATTTGCCTTCTTAGTATATTTTTCTAAATTAAAAATGAAACTCCCCATCTGTTAATTATACGAGGGAAAACAAAATGTTGATATTTTTGATGAAAGTTTGAAACACCCTGTGAAATATGTTAAAACAGCAAGAAATTTAAAAATAATTTTATCATCTAGATACATCCTTTCTCGAAGGTTTGTTTTTGGGTTCATCTCATTAGCTTTATTTTTGTTGGAAATATTCGGTTTTAAAGAAGGCACTAATATTTTTCGTAATTTTTACATTAAGACCATGCCTTTGTTTTTGGACCTAGTCAACACATCTAGTAAGTTCTGGTCCCGAAGCAGACCTTCTTGACATAAGATTTGCTTCATTTAATCTTCTTCTTGTAGTCCGTTAGTTAATATGTACGGTTCTTAAGTGCAATTCATTATCAATTTGAAAAGCTGGCAAACGGCGCGGCGGTTTCTTAGCGATAAACCTACAATAAGTCGATCGTCTCGATTAGAAGTTCTCATACGAAGGTTCCTGGACGTCTATATTGACGTCCTCATGGACGTGGTCATAATTCAAAGACCATTTAATATACTCTATGGTATTAAGGTATTTTTGGAACCAGAATTTTATAGCAAATTCACTAAACTCCAATAAATAAATGATATATATTTGACTCGCCCTGTATATCTATAAAAATTCTTTTGAAATGTGAACTACTATTAAACATATATTTTGTAAAAGGTTTGGAGTGAAAATCTCAAATAGGAATCCTGACACAGCTTTTCCGGAAAATGGAGCCATCTTCTATGTATGCATTTATATAGTAGTATGTGTTTATTTAAATACTAAAGTGAAAGCAACGAATTTAAATAGGTAAACTTTGTTATATATCTTATTAACAATACAATGCAAAAAGTTTTATAAAAATTCGTTCACAGTAAATGAAATCCGAGGTTTGTATCTCCTAAGAGCTTAAAGCACTCCACTATAGAGTTAATTTCTAAATCTTTATAGAAATATAACGCATTTTACCTGCAACCCAAGATCGGTCCAACAATCCTTCCATTCTTTCTATGATCAGCGCTGAAGACGTCAGAGCGACAGCCAAGAAGAATACAATCCTAAAATAAGAAAAAGTTAGTAATCAGACTAGTACTACTTTTTGATTTTATCAACTCACGTTAAAATAACTCCAGGTGCAACAAAATCGGTAAACGACGGTTGATTGGAACCGTAAATAGGTTTCTTGAATGAAATCGGTACTTCCGCAAGTTCCTCGTTTTGGTCGCAATCTCGTAAAAGGTCCTTGGTAAAGTTTTGGTACGTTAGCTGAAGGTCTCTTTGTAGAATGATACCGATTTGTTGATCTGCAATAAATAATATGATGAAAGTTAATATCTAGTACATGGCAGTTTGAAAAATTTATATAAAAAAATATATGGCCTATTTTCTAATACTACTACATATTTTCTTACGAAGCGAAGTAAGATATGTTATACACAGGTTAATTCATGTCAGCAGCACATAAGCTAGGCGCATAGTGCTGAAAACCTGAAGTTAACCGAAGAGCTAAAAAAGCAGACGGTATTGGGAATACCGCTAGATAAAACAGCTACAAATTATGGCTTTAAAAACAAATTTAATGAAAGAAATTGTGTTCGCAGGTGTAGGACCAGGAAATAAACAACCTTTTATTTAAAAAAAAATCCAAGCCAAATATTGAGGCAATTTTTTAAATAAAAAGTTGTTTATTTCCTGGCCCTAAACTTGCGAACGCCATTTCATACATAAGGACGCAAATCTACTACATTAACAAATTTAATATTATTGTAGCGTTTTTTAAACCACTACCACTGCGAACGGCAGCTTTTCATCGGAGAGCAGTCGTGGATAAGGTATTTCACTGGAAAGAAAACTAATTAAGAACAATAAACAAAAAAAAATAGATATTGGGCGCCAGGCATGTACAGAAGCCGGTGATGATAGGCCCCAGACATCATAAATTATATATTAATATATAAAAAGACATGTAACGAACTAAAAACGTTACATTATTATACCATGCATTATACCAACCTGGATAAATAACATACGATATGCCGATGACACAGTTCTGGTTGCGGATAACATGGATGATTTACAACAGTGGGTTAGTATGGTAGGAGAATGTAGTCGAAGAATGGGACTTGCCATTAACACTAGCGATGGGAACTATCGAATGAATTAGACTATCGAATGGTTACTGAATGAATGATTTCAACTATCGAATGGTTTTATTCGAGTAAAATCATTCATTCGTTTGTATACTAAAGCATGTATGTGACAATCTCGCTGTGCGACTAAATGGTTATCGTTGAGCCACGACTATCGAATGCTTTTGATAAATGAAATTTAGTATTCGTTTGATTTTTGTGTGCATCAGTGCATTATTAGTTCTTCCAAATTTTTATAACTTCACCTTATAAATACTGTGCTATTTTTGCGTTTATTAAAATATTTAAAATACTAAAATAGTAGTTTTTTTTAATTGACGATTGTGTGCGTGTGCAGGTGTCAAAATTTTTCCGAAAATTTGTGTGATTTTCCGTAGCCCGATCTCTCAATTATTTTATTTTATATGGTATATATGGTCTATTTTTTACTGGGAAATTTTGAGAAGTAGCAATTTTTAAGGAGATGAGATGAACTTAGAATTAATTTTAAAAATACATATTTGTATTTTAGATGTTTTAATAATATGAATTAGTTGAACTTAATAATCATATTTAAGTAATGTGGTTAAGTAAATGGGGTTATCGAACTCAAACTATGGGGTGAGAAAATTAAATTGAAAGTTTTACAGGTGCCTAATTCTCTTACATGTAGTTTTTTGCGAAGAAATATTTCATTTATTTTTTAAAGTAAATGCCAGTAAAAGTAAATATTATTTTTAAATAGTAAATATAAAGTACCTAATATAAATAATTTTGATTTCTAATTTTTTATTTATATTTTCCTTCCATTACACTGCATGCTGAGAAAATTAATAAATGTTTATATATCATGATTTTAAAGTTTGTTGTTAATATAACAAATTAGTTCTGTAATTATTATTATTTAATAAACCAACGTTGCCACAAAAAATTTAAAGACTATATTATTTTTAAATAGGATCTAATATAAATAATTTTGACATCTAATTTGTTGTTTATATTTTGCTTCTACGTAAAAAAAAATGTTTATATTAAATTATTTTAAATTTTGTTGTTAATAGCTATAACAAATTATTACTGTTATTATTATTTTTATTAAACCAGTCTTTGCTTAAAAACATTAAAAATCATTTTCCTACATCCAAAATAACAAGTATTATTGCAGTGTAACAACAGAATATTAATAAAAAAAAATGCAAAATATATAGACATACTATCCCTAACTAACTAAAGCCAAACAATAATATTCTTTGCTAATATCAACTAATACCAATATATGGCAACAGCGCCCTTCGTAATGTATTTTCTGTGTAAATACTAGCACCTCAATAAAAAAATAATGTGTCCTTATCTTTATATGACTCCGCAAAAAATCAAAGAAGCCGGCTTCTTTCATAGCATTGCCACCGACCGCTGTCGGGTCGCCGGGCGACAACTAAAATCCAGTTAATATTTTATTATAATCGATCCTGAGGAATAAATGAATTTCATAAATGAATGAATTTTATAAATGAATGGTTTTTGCTGCCGAATTACTAGAATACAATATTTCAAGGCAGATGATGCATCTATTCGATAATTTTTATTCGAATAGTTTTCAACGAATGTTTTTTTACTAGCTATCGAATTATTCGAATGAATTGCAACTATCGAATGTTTCGATAGTATTCATTCGATAGTTCCCACTACTAATTAACACAAAGAAAACATGGTTGTCACGAAAGAGGTGGATGAGTTTAGACACGCCAGCTTAACATACGAAGGAAAACTCATAGAACGAGTCGCAAAATTCAAGTACCTGGGAGCTTGGCTTCACGAGGACTGGTCATCTGACTGGGACAGTGGCGGATAGAGAGGGGGGGCTCGGGTCCCCCCTAAAATCTATAAATTGGCTTAAATATTAGGTTTTTGGGTTAAAAATGGTGCCCTAAAAAGCATATTCTACATTAATTTTTGTTTGGGCCCCCCCTATAATAAATTCCTGTATCCGCCCCTGGACAAGGACATTAAGTGCAGAATCGAGTAAGCCCGGGGCGCATTCCTGAAATTTAAAAAAGTCTTCACCTGTAGCGATTTCGACCTTGAGCTTCGATTGAGATTAGTGGAATGCTACGTCTGGCCGGTAATCCTCTACGGCGTGAAGAGTTGGACACTAAAAGCAAGTGCCATAAACAGACTGGAAGCTTTCGAAATGTGGATATACCGCAGAATCCTCAAGATACCATCCACGGCCAAGATAAAAAACGAGGATGTGCTCAGACGTATTAATAGAGAACGTGAACTCTTCAACACTATAAAAAAAGAAAGACTGCATACCTGGGTCACGTCATGCGTAACCATAAATACCAATTTCTCTAGTTGATTATCGAGGGCAAGATCGAGAGCAGAAGAAGTTTGGGACGGAAAAAAAATGTCGTGGCTGCGGAACATAAGACAGTGGACAGGCATTAGTAACATACAGATGTTGATCCACACAGCTAGAGATAGGGAAGCCATGGAAAGTGTGGTCGCAAACATCCATTAATGGATAAGCAGAGAAAGAAGAAGATACCATGCAGAGAAAACTGAATTACTGAACCCAGCTGGGGTAACTAAGCATACAGATGGCTCAAGAATGTTGGGCGTAGGTAGAGAGCTGGAATAGTAGGGCTGAAACAATAAATAGCTTTCCTAGCAAAAAAGAACATACCCTTCAGTTGCCATATTTATTTGTTTATATACAGCCAAGCAAGGTTTAAAGGCATTCGATACCACGGAGGTCAATTCAAGACTACTGTGGGATTGTGTGCGTGCTTTAAATACATTGGGTGAACATAGCAAAGATAAGTTAGCTTGAGTACCGGGGTACGAGGGTCACAAGGGTAACGAAAAGGCAGATAAAATGGCCAAATAAGGCTTATTAATTCCATTCAAAGGCCCAGAACCTTTCTAAAATAAAAGAAGTCACAAGACTGGCAAAAAAACAATGGGTGGCCAACAAATATCTGCAATGGTCAAGAAATTTACAGGCGAAAAAGAAATTCTAGTGTTCTTGTATGCAACAAGAATATTAGAATTGTAGAATAAGTATCTGATAAGGTAAGGCGGCCTGTCAAAGCTGTTGTGGGTCGACTAACACGGCCTTGTAAGATTAATATTCTTAAGTCATCTAAAGTTGATGGGATTGACGAACGAAGCTATGTGCAGATCTTGTCAATTTGCAAAAGAAACGACAGAACGTATAGATAAAACATAAAAGATGTTCTAATAAATAACACAACACTGGAAATAGTAGAAGAACATATTATTTGGGACAACTAATACATAACTCTGGATCTCTACTGCCAGAAATCAACAGAAGAATTAAGTTAGCTGGAGTACTTATGGAAGAAACTCAATCATATTCAAATTTAAAATGCCACTTTATCTAAAGGAGAACATATTCGACCAATGTGTACTACCAGTCATGATCTACGCATGCGAAACCCGGACACTTAAATGGATATTATAAGAAAACTGCAGGTCGCACACCGCTCAATAAAACGAAATATGCTGGGAATAACCAAGAAAGACCGTATACGAGTAGAGTGGATACGACAAGAGACCCAATGGATATCATCCACAGATTCAAATCCCTCAAGTGGCAATACGGGCAGGATACCTGGCAAGAAGGACGGACAACAGATGGACCACAAAAATTACAGGATAGTACCCACGGGGGATTAAGAGACCTAGAAGAAGACCAAACCTGAGATTGTACCATGATATTAAGAAATTAGCAGGGATAATTTGGGACCCCATAGCCAACAATAGACAAAAATGAGTCCATCTACAAAGAGAGTATCTAAATACATGAGGGAGGCTACACCATAATTAGAAATGGCTGAATAAGCTAAAAATGATGATGATGATTTTTTGTACAAAATATAATGTAACTTGGTAGAATATAATATATATAAGATTTCAGTATCGGTGAACATTTTTTTAAAAACACTAGCATAAAATTTGCTTCGCTTGTTAATTTTTAAAGCTTTTAAAAAATTTATGCTGTTTTTAATTCTCACACCATTACTATTTGCCGATTTTCGTGTACTTAAAATACAATTACAGAAACAAGTAATTAAACGAGCGACGAAATTTATTACAGGAATTGTTTGAACTTAACCTTTAGAATCTATCAATTCCTTTTTATTGCT